TTCGGGCGTGCCTTGTCCCCCCTGGACTTTTGGCCACACAGGCTCTGGCCTCACCTCCAAAGCCAGTTAGAACCCCAGGCCCTTGCCTCTGGGCGTTCCTCACGGTGGGCCCCTGGCCCTGTTGACTCTTCTGGTCCTGGCCCCAGCATTGACCAGTCGAGGGTGCCTCAAGTCAGGCTTCTGAGCAACTAGCCCACACTCTCTAACATGGGTCTGCCTTCTTGGGCCCTACTATGGGGTTACCTACCCGGTTGTGGGGGCTGGGGTTTTAAGGTGCCCCGACCCACCTTTCTTTCACTAGGGTGGTTCACAGTCCTGGCATTTGGGTGGGGCTTCCACACTACCAGCAGCCCCACCAGGCCTCCCTACCCTGGCAGTGTGCAGTTTTTAGGTCATGCCCAGGACCAAGAGCCCCCTGCCCTTACCTGCCAGATGTTTCATACAGCAGTTGAGCCAAGCCATGTGTCTGCCTGGCTGCCAGCAGCAAACTGCTGTGTTTATATAGCTGGCCTGTGTTTTAAAATGGTTGCTGCAATCAGGCACCTGTTGGCTGCCTGACTCGGCCCTTAAAGTGGCAGGCACTACAAGTGCACTGCCACAGCCCAGTTCCCTCAGTCTTTCCTTGTAAGTCATGTTCCTCAGCCCCCTCGCCATTTTTGTTGCCCTTGACTGGTCTCTCTCCAATTTGTCCACATCCTTTTTGTAGTGGGGGGTCCGAAACTGAATGCGGTACTCCGGGTGTGGCCTCACCAGTGCTGAATAGACAGGAATAATCACTTCCCTTGACCTACTGGTAACACTCCTACCAATGCAGCCCAGTATGCCGGTAGCTTTCTTGGCAACAAGGGCACATCGCTGGCTCATTCAGCTTATTGTCCACTGTAACCCACAGGTCCTCTTCTGCAGAGCTGCTGCCCAGACGGTCAGCCCTCAGCCTATGCTGGTACATGGGATTGTTCCATCCTAAGTGCAGGACTTTGCACTTGTCCTTACTGAATCTCATGAGATTTGTTTTGGGCCAGTCCTCCAATTTGTCTAGGTCACTCTGAATCCTAGCCCTACCCTCCAGCATATATACTATGCTACAGCTTGGTGTCATCTGCAGCTTGGTGTCATCTGCAGACTTGCTGAGGGTGCACTCTGTGCCATCTTCCAGATCCTTGATGAAGACATTGAACAAAACTGGCCCCAGGACTGACCCCTGGGGCACTCCACTTAATACTGGCTGCCAACTAGACATCGAGCCGTTGATTACTACTTTCTGTGCCTGATGCTTCAGCCAGTTTTCTGTCCACCTTACAGTCTGTTCATCCAGCCCATACTTCCATAGCTTTCCTGCGAGAATGTTGTGGGAGACCATATCAAAAGCCTTGCTGAAATCAAGGTATATCACATCTACTGGTCTCCCTGCATCCACAGAGCCAGTTACCTTGTCATAGAAGGCAATCAGATGAAGGTTGGTCAGGCATGGCTTGCCCTTGGTCAGTCCATGCTGACTGTTCCTAATCACTTTCTTCTCCAGTGAAGGAGTAATGGATTCCATGAGGATCTGCTCCATAATTTTTCTAGGGACTGGTCTGTAGTTCCCTGGATTCTCCTTTTTCCCTTTCTTAAATATGGGCACAAAGTTTGCCCTTTTCCAGTCATCTGGGACCTCTTCTGATTGCCATGAATCTTCCAAGATGATTGCCTTTGGCTTTGCAATGTCATCAGCCAAGTCCCTCAGTACCCTTGGGTGCACCCCATCTGGCCCCATGGACTTGTATATGTCCAGGTTTTTTTAATAGTCCTTAACTTATTCTTTCACCACTGTTGGCTGCTTACCTTCTCCCCAGACTGTGCTGCCGGGTGCAGTAGTTTGGGAGCTGACCGTGCCTGTGAAGACTGAGGCAAAAAAGGCATCTGCATTCTCTGTCACAAAGGTTGCCTCCCCCATTCAGTAAGGGACCCACACTTTCCCTGGTACTCCTCTTGCAACCAACATACTTGTAGAAACCGTTCTTGTTACCCTTCATGTCCCTTGCTAGCTGCAAAACCAGTTGCACTTTGGCCTTCCTGACTTCCTCTGTACATGCTCAAGCAGTGCTCTTATACTTCTCTTATACTCCTCCCTATTTATTTGTCCAAGTTTCCACTTCTTATAAGCTTTCTTTTTGTGACTTGTTAAAGTCTGCTTTTATGAAGTCCAGGGTCCTTACTCTTGCTGCTCTCCATCCTCCCTTCCCTTAGGATCCTGAACTCAATCATCTCACGGTCACTGCTGCCCAAGTTGCCATCCACTACTCCATTCCCACCAATTCTCCCCTGTTTGTGAGAAGCACGTCAAGAGTGTGGCTCCTAGTTGGCCACTCCAGAATTTGCACTGGGAAGTTGTTCCCAACGCTGTCCAAAAACTTCCTGGATTGCCGGTGCACTGCTGTATTTTCCTCCCAGTAGATGTTATGGCGACTGAAGTCCCTCATGAGAATCGGGGATTGTGATTGGGAAACTTCTGCTAGCTGTTTAAAGAAAGCCTCATCTGCTTCATTGTCCTAGCTTCATGGTTTATAGCAGACATCCACCATGACATCACCCTTGTTGTTCTCCCCTGTAACCTTAACGCAGAGACTCTCAACAGGCCTATCTCTGTCTTCATACTGGAGTTCTGAGCAATCTTACGGCTCTTTTACATAAAATGCAGCTCCTTCTCCTCTTCTTCCCTGCCTGTGCATCCTGAACAGTTTGTATCTATCCATGACTGTACTCCAGTCATGTGAGCTCCCACCAAGTTTCTGTTATTCCTGTTACGTCATAATTCTGTGGCTGCGCGAGGACTTCCAATTCTTCCTACTTGTATCCATGCATTTGTGTACAGGCACCTGAGGTAGCTAGTCAATTGCCCTGATTTCTCAGGAATAAGAGCACCTCCCCTACTGCCCCCCTCCTGCTTGCTCTTCCTCCAGGTCTCTTCCCCACTTATCTCAGGGTTTTGTTCTCCATCCCCTGGCAAACCAAGTTTAAAGCCCTCCTCACTAGGTTAGTGAGCTGGTCTGCAAAGATGCTTTTCCCTCTCCATCAGGTGAATCCCATCTCCTTCCCATCAATCCTTTTTGTCCTGTCTCCTATAAAATAGTCCAGACCTTCATTTGGTACACTTTTACAGGAGTTAATGGAGCTATGCTATTTATACCAACTAAAAATGTCTCCTGTAAAATAGCTTAGCTCCTAGCACTGGTGATGTGAGCCTTTTAGTGATTCTGGGCACAAACAATGACATAGTCTTTCAGGTGCCAATGCTTAGGTCACAGGTGTTGCCATGATGCTTTGTGCCTGTTTTTCTGATGGAACAGAGAACAGGTGATGGTGAGTCTGTTTTGTGCATTTGGTCAGGAAGTGGGCATGGGTGCTGTTGGAGTTGCTCTCTGGCTGGTGTCCTTTCTGGAGTTCCTAGGCATACTGACTGTGATCGTCCAAGAAGGGCAGGTACAGCAGCACGAGGAAGTCTGAAGTGTCATAGAATCATAGAGAAGTAGGGCTGGAAGGGACTTCCAGAAGTCCTCTAGTTCATCCCCCTGCATGAGGTAGGATCATCCCTGTTTAAACTATCTTGTACAAATTGTAATCTTAAACTCTACATAAGACTACTGTTAACTGTGACGCAACACAGGCCTAACACCCTAACCTGCTACAGGTAAAGAAGGAGAACCACAGCAACCAATGTCTTGCTTCTGTGAAACGTCAATATATGCTGAGAAAATCCTGGGTAGAGGGTTACGCCTTCTGCTACAGAGGAAAGCAAAACCCCACACAGTCCATACCAATCTGACCATGGTGTAAAATTTCTTCCCAAATGTGACAGTCGGTTTGACCCTCAGTGCAGGACCAAGATCCTCTAGCAATGAGCCTTCAGTTTTGGTCCCATCAGGATCAATGGCACACCCCAGTCAAAGTCCCCAGTTTGGGGTGGAGCCAACACTCAGTGCCTCTCAGGAAGGCTTAAAAACACCCTGACACGTAGCAGAAAGAGGAGTGGCTGGATGGTGACAGTAAGCAAAGCCCAGAAGCATAGGAAATACCCATAGTAGAACACAGGAATAGCTACGCCTACATCATCCCCAACCAGTGGCTGTCCAACCTCTTCCTGAGTAGTTTCAGTGATGGAGAGTCCACGGTTTCCTTAGGCAATTGATTCCACTGCCACATGTGTTTTAACAGTAAAGAAGTTTTTTCTGACTATCCAATCTAAACCTACTTTGCTGCAACCTCAGTTCATTGTTCTGCTGTGTCCTCTGCAGTGAGAGGGGGAAAAATGCTTTCCTTTTTCTTTATGGCAGCCCTTCAGGTATTTGAAGACTACTATCATGTTCTCTCTTAAGCATCTGTTCTGCAAGGTGATCATACCTAGCTGCTTCAGCCCCTCATATGACTTGCTTTCCCAGCCCTTTATCATCTTTATTGGTTGCCTCTGGACCTTCTCTAACTTCTCCTCCTTTTTAAAATGTGGAGCCCAGAACTGCACACAGTATTCCAGATGAAGCATAATCAGTACAGAGTAAAGGCACCATCACCTCTTGTGTCTTGCATCTAATGCTTCTATTGATGCAGCTCAAAAATGCATTTACCTTTTTCAGTAGATATTTGTAGGGAACTGTCTCTGCTTCAGACACTAAGTGAACCCATGGTGCCTTGGAGACCTTTGAAATGCTACAATTGAAGAAATGGTGGGATTAATGACAGCTTAGTTCTATGGGGAATGTTTCCTGTAAAATAGCCCATACGGAAAGATGCTAGTTTTATATTTTTAATCTCTTAAAATATTAAAACAAGTTTATTAACATGTCCTGTTTCATATTACAGATGTGTATCAGTGCTTTGTTTTTTTTAAAGAAAAAAATCTTAAAATTACCAAAACCTGAATTTTTATTCTCATGACACTAGACAATAAATCTGGAATTTTGCTTATTTTTAATTTGCTGTTCATTTAAGTTCCTATCCATTCACAGATGTTTCCTTTTATTTAGGAAGCTGAACAAGCAAGAACAGACTACTTTATTAGAACGCTATTACTTGAATTTCAAAATGTAAGTATTTAAAAAAGTAGGCTTCCCGTCCCAGAAAAGTTAATCATATAGATTACTTCTGTTTTTTACGCTTTTGGTGTCAAGCTCAGTTTTAAAGTCTGTTAGGTGTTGTCTTTGATGGTAAATCATAGAAAAATCTTATGAAAAAATTAAGTCATATTAAAAGTCTACATATGTTACCAAATGTGACAAAATTGGAACTAGTTTACTGTATAAGAGAGAAACAAAGAAATAAGCCTCTTTTTAACTATTTGGTTCATCTTTGTGGTGATGCTCTTTATTAACTCAATCCATAAGAGTTTTCAGTTGCACATTAACAATATATAGGACCAGACTTTCAGTTGGTACACTTCTACAAGAGTTAATGGAGCTATGCTATTTATACCAACTCTAAATCTGATCTGCAAAATTGAGGCTGGTAAAATAAACTTTTAGGTCCACTCAGTCTTCTAAATTCCTTTCTAAAATTGTGTTTGACTGTGCCTTTGACTTTTTAATTTGCCTGGGACTTACCTGCCATACCACCTAACTGATTTGTTTACTATCATGAGGAAATGGTTACTGATATTTGAATTTTTTTATGCCCAGCTATAATTGGTATGTGTTTAATGTAAAAATGATCACGTCCTTCTGTATTCTTCAGTTTAGCGTCATAGATAGAACTTCTATACAGGCTTCAGTATTTCACTGACAAGAACTATCTTTTGTCACAGTTGTTAGTTACTGATAGATATCTATTTTTGTTCTTGTTTTTTGTCACTTGAAGCCTGTGAGGGTTTGATATTTGCAAAGAATAATTCAAAAGTTTTCTGTGCTTAAAGAAATCGTTTTCTGCTTTCAGAATTACTAATCGTCTTATTAGTCAAATCTGTTCCTTTAAACTGTGGTTCAGTGGTTAGAATATGAACTTTACAAGTGGTCTGGTGTTTAAGATATTTAGGATGGATATTCTTAGATAGTGTTTTGTCATTTGCTTTGGAAATCATTAATATCACTATTAATTATAATCACTTTCAGAAGCAAAATTGTTGAGCAAAATCACATGACACTAATTTCTGTAAAATATTAGTCACAGAGCTAGTCTGAGAATTCTGTAGTTGAGCTCTCAAGTAATTCTTTGACAAAGGGTTAAAAGCTCTCTATTTCTTCAGTGGAATAAAAGCATTCTATATTTTGAAATAACTGTTGCAAATGCATGATGTGATATCTTCCTGCAGATGTATACTTAGCTCTTATTGACCCCTGGTAGGCATATTTATGGCATGAGTTTGTTAATCATGCCATAAATTACATGTCCCGTGTTGGCCAAAAGATGGTGCCATAAAATGGTAAACTAGCCAGAAATAGGCTATAATGTGGAACCTTATGATTGGGTAGGGGTAGCTCCGAGTCCTAAACAGACTCGCACTGCCCATGCCTTATTCCAACACTCATTTGAGCCTTGGGATCAGGGCTGGGGCAGTCCTGGAGTCTAGGGCAAAGCTACCCCATGCCGAATCTATAGGATCAGGCTGGGGTTATCCCTGCAGTGGTGCATTTGGAATCTGAGGAATTTTATGCCTCATCCTAAACATTGAGTTCTTTCATTCGCATGTGACAAGACAGTATGTGTAGTGTTTGGGATGGGATATAAAATTCGCCAGTTCCTTGTTGCACATTCTTTAGCCTCTGGCAGACATTAAAGTAGAGCTAACAGTATCTCAAAATAAATTGAAGAGGGCAAGTAACTCTTGTGCAAGTGACCTACTCATAATTTGTATATCATAAATATCAAGCATTAGCCATTAACAATATTGGTAGGGTGCCTGTAAAACAGGTGAGCATTTGGCTTTGTCCAGTGTTTATCTATGATTGTTAAAAGCTACAGTCTCAGTTGTTAAATGCTGCAGATTTAATGTTCCATAAATATCAGACCCCCAAAGTTTATACTAATTGTAATTCAGGAAACAACTTGCACAGAACAGAAGTGTATAGATTTGGATTAGTTTATTTGCTGTATTTTACTATGCCTTCTAATTTGACTTAATGTTATAAACAGATTACATTTCCTCAAACATTAATGATAAGCCTTGACTTGGGTAAGGCTTTTGATTCCATCTCCCACAGCATTCTTGCAAGCAAGCTAAGGAAGTATGGGCTGGATGAATAGACTGTAAGGTGGATAGAAAGCTGGCTGGATTGTCAGGCTCATTGGGTAGTAATCAGTGGCTCAATGTCTAGCTGGCAGCATCAAGCAGAGTGCCCCAGGGGTCAGTCCTGGGGCTGGTTTTGTTCAATGTCTTCATTAACAATCTGATACTTGATACTTCCCTCCTAGTTTGACATTGAGCTGTTGAATTTTTAAACCTGCCTTACTTAGCTTGCTTACCTGAATATTGTGGGAGACAACATCAAAAGACATGCTTAAGTCAAGGTATATTGCATCCATTGCTTTGCCCCCATACACCTTATCATAGAAGAAAATCGTGACTTGCTTTTGACAAATCCATGTTGGTTGTTGCACAGCTTTTGTTATTATGTAGGTGCTTAAAATTGTTTGATATGCTGTAGTATTTTTCCAAACATTCAAGTTAGGAAATTACAAATAGTCTAAGTCCTCCTGGCTTCCCCTCCCTTCCCCTTTTATTTATTTTTAAGATGTGCACTATATTGGCCCTTTTCCTCTCTCCTAAGCCCGCATCTGCCCTCCATGAGTTTTAAAGATAATACCTGTGTCTCTGTAATCAATTCTAGCTAATTCTTTGATTCTTATTGGGCTCTTCTGATCTGAAAATATCTAGCTTAGTTAATAACTCCCAACCTGTTCTTTCCCTACTTTTGCCTCAGTATTTAGCCCCTCCCCCAAATTCTTATTGCTGATACTGCCTGTATGATGGTAAACTGTAAAATTTAAAATAGAAAGGAAAAATACATTAAACGTGTCAGCCTTCTATGCACTATTCATTATTACCTGCTTCTCTACATTCAGTAAGGCACTTATTCTCCTTGGTTTTCTTCTTTATTCTAATATATTTATATAATTATTTGTTGCCTTGTTCTTTGGGAGCTGTATCCCAGTTAGTACCTGGC